CTAAGAACAATATCTGGATACCTGAAGCAATTCCAGATGCAGCACCAGCAGCCACCAGAGCAATATTCCTTTCTCTGTTGCTTTCCATCATTAATGAAAATCCATTGGCCCACGATTTTCCAATATCGACACTAGGGCCCTCAGGACCTAGAGAACATCCAGTTCCCAAAGTTACAGCAGCTTGGAGGGCCTTTACTGTGGGAAAGACCCCAGCAACCAAATCAAGACTTTGGTGTTGAGAATTAGTGGACTGTTTTATTTGATACAATATCTCAAGTAAACCATGCATCATGCCAACAATGACCCCCCCAGTCACCGGTATCAAAAGAATCCGATGCCAAGTGTCAGCTAGTCTCTGGAGACGGAGCCAAGCAGCACCCTCATTTGGTGTCCCAGCCCAGGCCCATTCATGTATGACATGAACCTGGAAGTAGAGTAGCAAATTAGTTTCCAAAATCTGAAGATCAGTTTTTATGCAAGACTAAATTTTGCCAACTCTATGGTAATGCAGTAACACTACTAATCACACTTTACATAGTCATTGACACAGAAGAAAACATCAACTACAAAATGTTTGCGATAAAGGCCACATTGATAGCAGAAAAACAGCTACTAAATGGCACAATTGAAATTGCCACACTTCAAAATCTTCATTAATTCATAACTCAAAGTGTGCACAATTACAGAAATGGAAAAATCACGCAACAACTAAATAATTCAGCATCAGTGAAGAGCCCAGATCTCAAACAAAACTAAAAATCTATCTAAAATTTAGAGAAGAAAACCTACTCCTTTATTGAAAGCGGCGACACAGAGACCAGATGCGAGCCCAAGCAAGCAGCCGATAAGAAGCAACGCCCATTCAGGCGGGGCGCTATCACCAAGCGCATCCGCACCGTCGACATAAGCATATTGATGATCATCATGATTTCGATCTACTGAAGACGACGTTGATGAGTGCTCTCTGTCGAGTCGCTTGTAGTTGTTGCGTCTCCCAGAGAATCCACGATCTAAGTGCTTGAAGATATCCTTTAAAGCGTTGTTACTGCTGTTGGAGGTGGCACTGTTGTTCCCTTGGGCTTCGACGTCATCACCGTCGCCGTCTTCTTGTTCGTGGCCGGCGGATCTCAGCAGACGGTTTTGATCGCCGTATTCTCCGCCGTCCGTCATTTCTTTCCCTCAGATTTCATCGAAATCGGAAGGATTGAAATGAAAACAAAGTACAAAATTCGGTCTTTTGTTTTCGGGAGAAGCAAGATCGAAAAGGATGGATAATTTTTAGTTTGGGGTATAGCTCATAAGTGCAATAATTTTTTTTTTTTAATATTAGACCATGTTGGGTGTTATTGTTCAGAGCTTTTATTTTTTTGAATATTATTATGAGTGATAAATTTAAATTTTTATCGGAGGAAAAATAGAGTTTTAATTTTTAAAAAAATGAAAAAGTAAGTAAAAACTAAGTAAAAAAAGAATTTATAAAAAATTTGGATTTAAAATTTTTAAACTTTTATTGTTTAAGAGTTTTTTGAAATTAAAAAAATATTTAAAAATATAAGTTTTTTAAAAAAAAATTTAAATGTATGAGACATAAATAATGTTAAAAAACTAAAGCTCATAGAAGTGATATAAACATGCCCTTAGTTAATATTGTTAAATAAAAAGTTTATATTTATTTAATTATAATATATATTTTTTTATGTTAATTGCACAACAGGGGCAATCTTTTTTTATTTTTTATTTCATTTTATTCGCATGCGATA